TTCCAGCTAAAATCCGCCCTATTCGTTAGCCATGGTGGTGGTGGTGGAGGAGGAGGAGGAGGAGGAGGAGGAAATGAAGTGATGTAAGGACGAGAATCCGCTGACCAGCCTCTTCATGTCCTCGAAGAGAGGAGCAGTGAATTTCGCCATCTCCCTAGACCCTGGTCAGTGGCTGCAGTAGGGGGAGGAGGGGAGGACCTGGTGATGGGGTGCTCGAATGAGAGGCAGGTAGCATGCAGCGCCTGCCTGACTAAGATGGGCTTCCCTTCTCCTCTTCCTCGCTCCACGTCTGTATCGTGGATCACTTTCCCTCCATACGTTGTGTCGCCTGACACGCGCAGGTGAGGTTGGAGGATGCGGAAGAGATAAAAACCAGCGATAGAATGTCCGATGTGCGAGAGGTGGACACGAATCTGACGAGCAAGTGAGGAGGTGAGAGGAGGAGGAGAAAGAGGAGGAAAGGGAAGAAGAGGAGGAAAGGGAAGAAGAGGAGGAAAGGGAAGAGGAAGAGGAGTAGACTGAGGGGAGGAGTGAGGAGGTGAGGAGGAGGAAGAGGAAGAAAGGGAGGAGGAAGAGGAAGAAAGGGAGGAGGAAGAGGAGGAGAGATTGAAGACAGTTCACCTGGTGCGTTCGCCCAGTGAGGAGTTGAAGCTCCACCAACGTGAAATCTGAAGGTTGCGAAGACAGTCATGAGCAGTGTAGGTTTGATGAGTGAGGGGAAGGAGGGAGAGGGTGGGAGACAATTCATGGGATGAACGAAGTGGAGCCAAGACGGCAAGCAGTGGAGGAGAGGAGGAGTATAGTGGACGAGGGGGGATAGAGACAACAAGGACAGAGGCAAGTAAGGGACGAGGCATGGGAGATGCTCCGACAGTCCTACCCTTGTATCGCTCCCTCACGCGACAAATGGTCTTGGCTTGCTTCCCTGCCTGATTGCCAAGTCACAAGGGCAGGAGGGAGAGTGGATAACCTTCCCCTCCCGTACGCACATGCGCTCCCTGACCTTCACGTCTCGTCCTGAGACAAATCATGTCAAGAAGTTGAGGAGGAAGGCAGGGGAGCAGGGGATAGGGAGGAAGGGTTGTGTGGGTCTGACCTATAGGGGCATCTATCAGCTGTTCATCTTTGTTCACTCTTCCGTGCACAACCGCCAGATATCTGAAAGGTTGTGTGAGGACAAAGCGGAAGAAGAGCAAAGGAGAGGAAGACAGAGGATTTGAGAAGAGAAGGGAGGGAAAGGGAAAGAGAAAGAGAAAGAGGGAAGGAGGAAGAGGGAGAGAGGGGAGGGAGGGAGGGAGGGAGGGAGGGAGGGAGGGAGGGAGGGGAGGGGAGGGGAGGGGAGGAGGTGGTGAAGGAAGAGAGGGAGGAAGAGGGAGGGGTTTCATTTCACCTCTTGTCCACTTTTCTCTGCGCGAAGTTCTCGGCGAGCCGCCAGTGAGCAAGGTCGCTCTTAGCAACCACCATGACTCCACTTGTGAACCTTTCACCTCCCACTTCAGATGTAAGAATCCTCCTCCTCGTCTTACTCGTACTCGTCCTACTCCTTTTCTTCCTCCTCATCATCTAGCCCCCATCTCCTCTCGATTCATCTCCTGCTCCTACCTCCCCTCCTCTTCCTCCTTCTCTTCCTTCACCACCTCCTCTCCTCCAGTCTCCTCTAGCCTCTTCCTCACCGATCCAGCCGATGGACAATGCCAGGACGTGAGTTGGTCGCACCCACAGAAGAGAGAGAGTCTCCCTCCTTGCTCCGCTGCTTTCTCCGTTATCATCGATTCCTTTGCTCGCTAGCAGATGCACCTGAAAGTGGAAAGCCAACGCGTTCACCAGCGTCCCACTTGATACGCCCTGAGAAAATCGTGGAGAAAGAGGAGAAAAGAAGGAAGAGAAGGGCGAGGAGGAAGAGAAGGGCGAGGAGGGAGAGAAGGGCGAGGAGGAGGAGGAGGAGGAGGAGGAGGAGGAGGAGGAGGAGGAGGAGGAGGAGGAGGAGGAGGAGGAGGAGGAGCAGGGTGAGAAGGAGGAGGAAGAGCAGGAGCAGAAGCAGAAGGAGCAGGAGGAGCAGGAGCAGAAAGAGGCGGCCACGACAAAGGGGGCAAGGATGCAGAGAAGGGAAGGAGAGCAGGACAAGACAGGAAAGGACGATCAGCAATCGCCAATCAGCAGCAGACTCAGACGGAACCTGCCAGGGATGGACTGTGAGACCGGGCTGTTTGTTGACGAGGACGATGCTGTCATCCTCATGCAGGATGTGGATGGGGATGTCATTGGGCTCGATGTCCTTACAGCCAGGAGGAGGAGGAAAGTAGACGCAAATCACGTCTCCTCCCCTCAGCTTCGCCGCAGGTTTTGCAGCCTTCTTGCCATCGGCGACTACAACGCATCCCTCCTTGATCAACCTCTGGATGGCTGGAGGAGAAGAGAGTGAAAGGAGGAGAGGGAGGGGGAGGAGGTGGTGGAGGAGGACAAGCAGGAGAAGGAGATGGGGACAAGAGCGCAGACCTGATCGGGACATGAACGTTATCTTCTCTGCCAGGTACTGATCCAGCCGTTGTGTGGACACCTAGAACAGGTTCAGGAAGGAGGGAGGGACAAAAAGGGAGGGAGGGAGAGAAAAAGGGAGGAAAGGAGGGAGGATGGGAGGGAGGGAGAGAGGAAGGGATGGGTGGATGGGTGGATGAATGAATGGATGAAGGAAGGGAGAGGGGAGGCGGGGGGGGGGGGGGGGGGGGGGGGGAGAAAGAGAGGCAGGGAGGGATGGAGCTACTGGACCTGTCCTTTCTCAATCTCAAGAACAAGAGAAGGAGGAGACTCGGTGTCCTCCCTCCTGCCCTTCCAGTCTATATCGGTCTCACGCAGCTGGGAAGATCCGACGTCCTCATCGGAGTCCATCTCCTCCTCCTACCCATCCCCTACTGTCAGGCTTGATCCTCCCTGCTCCTCTCTACCTCATCGTTCCCTGCCCTCAACGCATCTGAGGGCAGTCGCTGCTGCTGCTTCCTACCCCCGGGTGAGCATCTTTGGAGCAGGACTGGCAACAAACGCTCACATAGCTGTCGGGTCTATCGTAGCCGCTGCCATGGACGCCGCAAGCATGTCGGCGTCAGGCTGCAGCCCTTGCTTCTTCGCTTCCAAGACAAGTTCGGAACTCTGGAGAGGGAGGGAGTAAGACCATGTGGACCCTCTCGCATCACCAACCTCGCTGCTCCTTCCCATGCTGATCAGCAGTCGGATCGCCGCTGCATACGTGTGATGCGTACGAAGAGATGGGGGTGTGCTGTGAAAACTGCGACGAGAGAGTTACAGGAAGCAGAGCGGAGGAGAGGAGAGGAGAAGAGAGGAGAGGAGAGGAGAGGAGAGCAGAGCAGAGCAGAGCAGAGCAGAGCAGAGCAGAGGAGAGGAGAGGAGAGGAGAGGAGAGGAGAGGAGAGCAGAGGAGCGCATGAGTGGATGGAAGAAGTGGAAGGAAGGGAAGGGAGGAGGGGGAGGGCGATGGGGGTCTAGAGAGAGATCACAACATTTCAAGAGCTTCAGCAGCATCGCGAGTGTCTGACGATCGTCTGCCGAGAACATCAGGTCGAGCTGAAGACAAACAGTCGAGCAGAGAAAGCGATGGCAGAAGCACGAGAGATGATACTGGAAGAGCAGGTGCAGGTGGAGACTCTTGGAGGAGGAGGAGGAGGAGGAGGAGGAGGAGGAGGAGGAGGAGGAGGAGGAGGTCGAACATGGCAGCATCAAGAAGGCAGTGAATGGAAACAGCATTCGCATCGATCCCTCCCCCCTTCATCCCCTCGAAGATCTCCACCGCTTTCTGCTCCACCATTTGAGTCAAACTAAGACTTGACAACGGCGGCGCCTCACCCGGAAGCCTCCAGGTTCGCTAGAGACCTTGGACATGGCTTCGTTATAGGCCCAGACATCAGGACGAACGGTCTTCCCTCCTCCTGCGCTCCTCCTCCCCTCCTCCTCCAGCGACATGCCTTTCCCTCCTATGGTCGCAACTCCTCCACTGGAGGCCGTGGCTCCTCCGGCGCAGGGTAGCAGGCAGACGAGGAGGGGGAGGAGGAGGAGGAGACGTAGAAGGAAGGGCGTTGAGGCCCTGAGACGGTCGGGAAGGGGACTGCGCCCTCCTCCTACGCTGCTTCTCCCTTGCCTGACCGCCATGTTTCCCTGTACCCTCCCACCATTGCTCCTCCCGGATACTTTCGGATAGTCCCGGATAGTCCCGGATACCGCACATGGCAAGTTCAGGCGTATCGCATGACAAGCGTGGAGGAGGGGAGGGGGGGAGGGGGGAGGGAAGGGAGGCAGAAGAACAAGAGGAGCAGGAGCAGGGAGGGTCGAAGGAGAGATAGCTCCTGCATATCCTTGTACTACTCGGTGGGTCAGGATGGGAATAAGGACAAGACTCCCACAGATTTTCCTTCTCCTCACAGTCTTCATTCTCCTCTCCTCTTCCCACCCGCTGGAGCACGAGGGCTGCCATGAAGGAGTTTTGCTGCCGTCAGCCATGCGTGGAGGATACGAGCCCAAGGGTGAGCTCCGCCATGGAGCGACTGTAAAGGGGCCCAGGAGTTGGAGAGGTGCGAAGAACCAGGGTGCTTCTCGAAGGAACTACAATGCTCGTCGTCAGGTCGCGCACCATCATCCTACTCAGCCGGCGTTGATGCTGTCTTTTAACAGGGAAGATTCAAACAGCCATGGCAACAGAAAGATGAGAGGAGTGTACAGGCTGACAAGGCGTGGGAGAGGAGGTGTGAAAATCGCCGATGGCCTCCTGCTGCTCACACGTTTTCAAACAGAAGTCGCATTGTGAGAGAAATACAGGAAGAACAGATGAAGACAATGAAGACCAACCATTCTTGGCCGGTTCGCTATTAGTGCGAATGCGCTTCCTCAGCTGAGAAATCCTTTACCCAAAGGTCGAGGGTATCCCGATCTTCATTCCTCGAGCAATACTGATTCAGAAGTGAGTACAGCATCGAGTTATCTTTGAGCTACATCGCAAATGAGTACATGCAGGTATCCAATCGCTAAAGTTTGGAGTGAGAGGATAGCAAAGGTAGGATCAGATTTGTGAGGCAGCCAAATTTGTTGAGACATTTGGACAGCGTCAACAGCTCAAGAATCAGTCCCTCGCGATACAAGTCATCTCTTCCAAGGCTCAAATCATAGTTCAGCTGTGTGTGGATGGCCCAATGGTAAAAACACTTGCTACATTCGTCCTTGACATAACTCTCTGCTTTCAAAAAGGGAAACTGGCTACGGATTGTTCAAGAGAAACTCGCCAACAGATACCGGCAACCCACTTTTGAGGTGCACATCCCCCTTCTCCGCGTCCATGGATCCGTTCCTCCTCAGGCGATGCTCAACTTGCTCAGGTTTCCTTGAGATGCAAAGGATCCCATGCGCTTACTACGATACTTGGTGGACCACAGGAATTTTACCAGGGATTTACAAGAATTCCGACTTTCCGTCACTAATCAAGTCTACATTGATAAAGCGGAGTACTCGAGTTCTAGGCAGCTCTCTCTCCGAATATCGTTATCTCCCGAAAAAGACGTGGAGGTGAGATTGAAACTCGCTGATAACCACCTCAAGGTCTTGTCAGGCCGTTACCTCGAAATTAGCACAGCACTTTCCAGCAGCGAGGATATCCAAACCCTCGCCGTCGTTGATCCTACTGGACGATTTAAGGTATCCGAGTTTGCGCTTAGCCCTCTTGACGATCCGTCAGATCCAACGACATGAGAGAGCTGAGGTCGTCGGCAGCTGCCATTTCCCGTGAGCTCAGTGGCGGCCGAACTCTCAACCACTTGGCCGTAGAGCTTGTCTGCGTCCCAGGTTGTCCATACCTTTATCTTACATGCATCGATGACCTGCTAGGAGTAGACGGAGAATACAGAGATCGATTCAATCTGTGGAGGTACTCCGTGAAAGAAGTCTGATCAGAAGTAGAGGCGCTGGAACAGCACAGCAAGGATAGAATATCGCCATTGACAACACTGTGATTGATTTCAAATTCCAGTGCTCAGAAATGATGATTTCCATGCACAGGGCGAAATAGATTGACTGGCAGCGAGCTCCACATTACGTAACAGTCATATTTCTACTTGTTTGATCATATCTTGGTCATAATGTACAATTTACATGTCGAGACGTGAATTGCAGACATGGGGTAATCGTTCAAACTCCGTATTGCTGAAATTGAAATGTGTGCAGGTCATCTTGTGGACTTTTTCAAGTTAATCTGTCTCAACTGATAATCCCTGAAATGCACCTCACCACATGGGCAACACCATCAATCCTACACCACCTGATCATTTTCTCTTCTCTATCTCGCCTCCTTCCATGCTTGTCATTGGATTCTGTCAAAGTTTTTGATCTTCGCAACAATCAGCTGAACATGTGGAATATAGAGATGATGTTATCGAACTCACATGTAGCCATATCCGCTCGTGTATCCTGCCAGCTCTTTTTCCTTCATGCACGTCAGGCAACAACAACAGAAAAGTTGGCTGGGACCTCTGGGCGGATGTCCTGCTTGTAAGACTTGCGGGGGTTCGTTGCAACCAGCCCCATCTCCGCTTGCAAAGTTCCCTCAGAAGGCTAGGGAAAGGCATCAGTACCAGACAACCTTCTACGAGACAGCTTCTCAAGCACAGTTACCAGTAGTTTCCTATCGAAGAACTTGATCTTGTTGAGGGCTCGTTCAGCTACCTCGCCGTCTCTGTCCGATGCTTCAATCGTCATCCGGTTCTCTTTCTCCGTATGAATCGGAATCGCCCTTGTCCTGCTCGCCTCGTCAAACGAGCTTGAGGTTCGATCAGCTGTCACCTCCATTCGTTGAAATTCAGTCCGGCTTCGACTGGCTCCCTCAGTCGCCCCTGGCTCCTTGGAGGGGTCGGAAGCTGAGTGACTTGCAACACATACATCTTGTCCTCCTCCCTCAGAGCCCCTCCTATCCTTGCATTGGAGCCTCTTCCAAATTCTATCTTGTCTCCATTGTTCAACTCGCTCTCTATTACCCTCCTACCGTTGACAAATGTTCCGTTGCCCGTCGGCGTTCCCTTGAGCCCCTCGTGGCTGCATAGCCATAGAACCAGCCGGCCATTCGAGCCATGGCGAAACCCCAGCTTGCAATGAATGCGAGAGATACCGTCCCATGGCAGAACTAGGTCGCATGCGCTGTCTCGGCCGATCCTGATGCTGCCCCGGCTGATAGCTACCTCTTCCTTCCCGCTCTCACCCTTCAGCACTCGGATCATAGAAGAAGAGTGGTGGCGACGAAGGAGAGGAGAGCTGAGGAGAGGAAGCTAGCGAGAGAAGGTGGGGATGGGAGGGAGGTGAGGGAGGAGGAAGGTTCAGACAGGAAGCTTGGCAAGGCGTTGGACTTATCAAGTACCCCTACCCCCTATATCATTTGAAATTAGATTATATCAGGTGGGGTGGGTGTGAACAGAACTGTGAAAGGCTGCTTTGCGAGTGAAGATTTCAGATCAGAAGGAGAGGCGGAAGCGAGGGAGAGAGGGACAAGGCAGACTGATCGATGGAATGACAGCAAGGAATGGTGCCTTGAACATATACCTATCGAAGACGAGATCTGTGTTGTTCTGCTGAGAAGACCAAGAACACTTCCCGACTACAATGAGGACGTGGAAGTGAGAAACGTTAAGAGCCAGGTAGGATGGAAGGAGCAGACATCATACACCCCTCCTTAAAGGGCTCGATGCAAGACGATTCAGCACAAGGTCAGGTCTACTGGGACTTACCAGGTACATGGTGATGGTTGAGTCATGAAAGTTTCCCTGACCCGCTAGCTTTCAAGGCCTCGTCATTTCTGCGAGCGTTATGATGGTCATCTTTGTTTGCGCTGCCATCGGCTTTCTCAGCTGGAAGGTCTACATCCAAGACGGGGGTTATCGCGAGCCATACGAGAACGAGATGGTACAGGAGCTCAACGAGATAGAGCTAGAAGACCTGCTCGTCTGTCGCACCCGAGGGGAGCAGGGAGCATAAAACCAGTGAGCAGTAGGGCAGTCAACGAGTAAAGGTATGCGTGTCTATTGAAAACAATAATCCTGTCGCCCGTTGCATACAAACGTCATGCGCGAGTTGCTCCCACTGCCCCTCTGCTACCTCCTCCTCCGTGCCTTGCCCCGCTCTCAATCCACCCCGTCCATGTCCGCCGGGTCTCCGACCCCTCGTTCCTGCCTGTAAGACAAGCAGCAAGTCAACGAGACTGAGCATGCCGCACCATGAATTACTCGGTGGGCTGAGGCGAGCTCCTCGCCTTTGCCACCTTGAGGGTGATGAGGACCTTTGACACATCCCAGATCAATGCCGACTTGTCGTCAGAGCCCGTTGCTAGATAGAGTCGTGGCGCTTTCCCGGTGAAGGCAACGCTGTTCAGCTCGTCTGTGTGCCCCTTCACCCTCGCTACCTCGTCCCACTCTTGTCCAACTCGGAAGATCCGTGCGATGCTGTCTGCACAGCCAGTGACCAGCAAGTCGTCTCCAGGTGAGAAGGCGGCCGAGGTCACTTTGTCCGCATGCTTGAGCTTGCGAAAGAAGGTCCACTTCTGTTTGTCGTCACACGAGAAGACATTCGCACACTTGTCATCGCCTCCTGTCAGCATGTACTTTCCACTCTTGGAGAAGCAGATCACATTCACAGGGCCCTCATGAGCTTGGATCGTCTGCACAAGACTCTTCTTTCCCACGTCCGTCACGAAGACTTCACCTTGCCCCGATCCCGATAGGAGCTGACTGGAATCTGTAGAGAAGCATACACAGAGCACAGGGCTGCGACTCGACTCCATCTTCAGGTACTCCTTGCCCGAAGCTGCATCAAATATCTTCGCCAACTGTCGAAAGAGGCCGTCAGCCAAGCAAAAGGCACAAGTTACAAGTGCGAACCTTGTCATACGATCCTGAAGCAATCAGCTTCCCATCAGAGCTGGCAGAGATGGAGTTGATTGTACTAGAATGAGCCTTGATGGTCGTCACAGGGTGACCATCGTCTGCCTCCATGATCCGAATGTTCCTACCAACCTCATCATATAGATGAACGGTGTTGCGAAAGCCTACCCGTCAAGGCATGCGGTGGCGATCCTTTTCCTCTTGGGTGTATTATAAAAGATGGCATGCCAGACCCAATCAGGATGGGGAACTCTATCAAAGCATGGTCATCGAATGCATCAAAACCAGCATCTCTCGTACTTGTACACTTCTTTGCCTTCCAAGTCGAAGGCCCTCAAATTCTTGTCTGCAGAGCCCGTAGCAAGGAGCTGGCCATCAGGACTCCAATCAACAGACCTTACCCAGTATGTATGCTGGCGGAGGCGAACTTTGGGGTCAATAATGACACTCAGTGCCATAAGGGATGAGCTTTCTATCAGTTCTGTAAAAACTGCCCAGTCACAATGGGTTGCAGAAACAAACAGACATATGAAGATGAAGTTTCCAAACGAAACATGACAAAACTCCTTACATCTCACACCTACCCCGCATGCATTCTAACAGAAAACGATTCCTTGGCAAGGTACAACATTGAAAGCGCCATGCACGAGCCAAAGGCCGGATCGGGCCAGGGCAAGGGTCATGCGAGGAGATGGAGCGTGCACTAGCTGAGACTCAGCATGCGGCTACAGCTGCAGCAGTCCCATCATCTCACTATCGCCATCGCGAGCATCAGGCTCTCCGCCATGGCCCGCGCTCTCAGGTGTCTCATCGCGACAGCCCCATAAGTCCCTGGAGCATGAGCGCATCTCAACCACCCCCATCCCTGGCAGGGGGTGGGTACCCTTTTGCACGATGACCCTGCATTACTCTTCATACACCCCTACTTTTAATATCTGCAACCCCTACTATGGACCGCCAGTAGTACCTTACCACCCACTCAATCTCCTCTACCCACCCCCTCATATAAACATTACCCCTTTCCACCAATTTTACCCCTCATATCTTGGCAAACTTACCCACCCCACCCTTGCCTCGATTCTTCCGAGAGCGTACGTTCTTGGGCTGAGATCTGCAATGTCCAGAGTGTGCAATGTGAACAGATGTGAACTTGCAAGAGAGCGAGAGAAGATGAAGAAAGAAAGACAACTGAGTCGAACATGTCAGCAAAGATGCTTCTGAGTTGCCGTTGGCGATCATGCGTGCATAACAGATTGCTCAATGGTAATGTTTATTTGAGCATATGCCTACCAGCAGTGTAGTTTTCGATGTTGTCAATTCACAGGTGAGGAAGCGGCAATATAGTTCTCTGCCGCAACATGCAGACGAGGAGAGGGTAGCTGTCCGAGATCTTTGACGCTACTCAGGATATCAAGAAGCGACTCGAATCTCCGCAAGATCGGAGATTCCAAGACGTCGTGGAGAGCAATTGCCACCGCCTTGACCTGCGAAAAGATCGAGTATTAGTTTTAACAGGATTCCAAAGAACTGTTAACCTGTAGCAGGCCGGGGAACAAACGATCCAAAAACCGAAAGGGAAGAGTCTCCAAGGAGCCAGCCGCAGTGCTGAAGATTGAGGCAACTATCCCATTGAGTAGGATCATGTCGTTCTCAACCAAGACGTATCGCACTTTGGATACATCACGGGAAATCGAACGAACTTGAACCAGCCCGTCCTGTCCTAGTAAATAATCGCCTGTTTCAACACCCGAGGCCTGCATGAGCTGCATGCTCTCGGAGCGCTTATCCCGACAGGGATACTTGCAGACGTGCAGGTAGTGCGGAGGTGTGAGCTCAATCTCCCCCTCGCTCGTCCCCAGCCGCACAACACGGTAGTCCTCCACATGGTCGTGGATGAAGTACACTCTCCCAAAGTCCTTCGGGCCTGGGCCGTTGGCGATCAAGTCATTCACGCTGATGTCCCCCAGCAACGCTTCTTCCACCTTTCCTCCACGTTCGACTCTTACTCTCCCGCTTGTGGAGAAGCAGCCATGGTATTCGCCCGGGTCACCCTTGGTAATAGCAAACATCCCTGCAGTTGCATGAAACATCTCGCAGATCCCACACATCCTCTCTACTTCAGGCTCTTTGTAATAGCCACCCACCGGGGCACCGCAGACACTGGATTTCTGACCCATCCATATTCCATCCTGCGCGACTGTACCACACGAGTCGAACGTATTGCAGGTCTCACTCAATCCTTCGATGCTCATCATGCAATCTATCAAGCTCTGTGCGTTACCTCGAAGAACAGTCCTGATCGACAGTTTGCTACACGGCGGTTTATCAATGTTGTCTGGTGTGCATTCGGTATCATTGAACGGCGCTGAGATCACACCGTCCTTGACAAAGTCATACTTTGGATCGTCTGCCTCGCCTTTGTCTTCAAGAATATATCCACACTTGTTCCATCTGGGAAAGATGGCCTTGGCTTGCCGCACCAAACTGCTGATGGCACACGTTCGCTCTCCGGTGAACGGGTCTGCCGCTGCCGCTGCTGCATCCTCCTCATCAGTGGAGTTCCCTCCATCGCCACCAGACGAGCCTGTTGCGTTTGCAAGCGATATCATCCTTTGCTTCAAATGCATCTCATGCTTTAACTCAGTCACTGGAACATACTCCCACTGACCCAGCACCGGCTGCTTTTTCTCCGGAGCAGAACCCTGTAGCGCCTCTCCCATCCCGGCTATTCTTGAAGCTGGCAGGTAAGCCCAGTGACCCTTGACTGGAAGTGTCCTGGGGAGGTAAGCGACCTTGGGCTCTTTGCCTTGAAGCAGGGGAAGCTGCCGCAGGTCCTTGTCCTGCACCAGCAGCGCCCAAGCGCACAGGAACGCGGTGATGGCAGCGCAGAAACCCACGAGAGGAAGGAAGCGACTCACACGCGACATGGCTCAAACCTCTTTAGACTCCTTGTGCGACGCTCAGAAGGAGCTACCTCGAATCATCCTCGCACTTCGCCATCCGCCACGCACCCTACCTCGGTCGCCATGGTGCCCTTTCACCAGGGTGACCGCATCCCCACACATACAGTGGAATCATCCCCCTCATCCCCATGTTACCCACATCCCCACCCAGATCCCCACCTAGATCCACACTTGCACCAGCACTTGCACCAAGCGATCCTTCATTTATTACTCAAACTTAAGTGAAAAATTAGTACCTGGACAATCAGGAGAGTAGTAGGAGGCTCGATCCGGTGTAGTTTCCGATCGGGTTGCGACTATACCACCCCACCCCACCCCACTTTTTACCCCCTCTTCCCTATTGCACCACCCCCGACGATATTATTCCGCCACTTCCTCCTCACCTTCACAGCCATCCCTCCCCTCTCCCTCCCCTCTCCCTCTCCCTCCCCTCTCCCTCCCTCGCTCCCTCCTTTAATCATTTTCTCTCTCTTCTCCTCCACCCACTCTCCCACTCCCCTCTCGCATCTCGGTGAGGTCTTTTCAACCTTGGATCCGTTCTTCTAGGACATTCGACGTGCAGGCAAGTGGGCTGTAAGAAATCTTGTTGGGAGAGGAGTCCACTAGTCTGCTCCAACCTTCTCCAGGAAGGATGGCTGTAGAGCTCCTTGAATTCAAGATCTTTGCACTCTCCGCAGTGATGCTGACGTCACTGGCTGGTGTGCTCCCGCCTATCCTGCGTCCTGGGATGGGGAAAGGAGGGGCCCATCCTTCTTATTGGTTTTTCCTCATGCGATCGTTCACAGCAGGCGTCATGCTTTCATTAGCATTCGTGCACATCATATCAGAGGCATTCGAGGTCATGGATGGCTTGTGCGGGAAGTACCCGATCGCATCTGTGTTCGTCATGTCAGGGCTTGTGCTCATGATCTGTGTTGAGCGCGGAGCGCTGGATTTCATGTCTCGCAACGATGATGGACATGGGCATCAGATGTCATCGCAAGAGTTTGTGTGCTGTCAGTCCGACATGCACCAGCATTCCCACGGGTGCATTCGGCATGCTCACCACAACAGCAGCGACCACACGCAGCCGCTGCAGGAGAAGCTCATGTCGCGATGCTGCAAGGGGCTGGTGCCTGGCTCGCACCTGCCGGCCGAGCTAGAGGATGAATGTGCAGAGGAGGATGGCTCGGGCGAGAGCCATCAGGAGCACTCCCATGATCATGCTGAGATCCAGCAGGAGTCGAAGCGGGGTGATCTAGAGAGCGATCTGCTGGAAGGAGGCAAGAAGCCAAAACCGCCTGAGCTGATGCTCGGCATGTTGGAGGTAGGAGTCATCATGCACTCCTTGATCATCGGGATGGACCTGGGAGTAATGTCTCAACGGCCTAGCGCGATCGTCGGGCTGGTTGTTGCCCTGTGCTTCCATCAGTTCTTCGAGGGGCTGGGGTTGGGAACGTGTATCTCCTATGTAGTGCACGACAGCCGGAGTCGCATCTCGAAGAACAAGGTCAGCCACCTCCACCATGGTGTGAGCTCTGACTGTACGTGAGCAGCTCTTGATCATGGTCTCTTCTTTCGCCCTCACCTTCCCTCTCGGCGTTGCTAGCGGCATCGTCTTCTCCACCATCCCCACCTTCCGACCAGGCTCTGAGTTCCAACGGTGGATTCAAGGTATGTGATAGCGTGCCGAAGGGCATGGCAGGTTCAGACTGAAGTTCCTCCTCCTCTTGCAGGATCACTGGACGGAATCAGTGGGGGTATCCTTGTGTACCTCGGCCTCGTCCACTTCATAGCAGGTATCCCTTCCTCCGCCTTCCTCCCTGCCCTGCCTATCGGTGACGCCGTGAACCAGAGGACTTCAGCAGGACGGACGTGAACCTGCCCTCCAACGTGCTGCTGCGATGGATGATGGTGTTCTTCATCATCCTGGGGGGGGTCGCCATGTCCGTGCTGGCGCTATGGGTGTGAAGGGGTCGCGCCATTGTATACTATGAAGTACGTCGTCGAATCTTGCTCCCCTTCTCGTTAACTTCTGTTAGATTCTTTCTTTTGCTTGCTTTGTAACTCTATACATACCGTAGCTTGACAGACCCCTCCCTCCC